GACATGCAGGAGTTACAAGATTTACCGGTTATCCGGAAGTTCCTAAAAATGCCTCCAAGTCGACCGAAAGTTGTTTGTTTCGACTACCCAGTAAGTAGACTTTATCAAGTCTGGCCTGAATCTTGATTCTATTTTTAGGCGTTTTTGCAACGAACAAGGTAACTACTGGTAAATAATGGGTTGATACTATTAGATTGATCGGAATATATTTTTCTGTGACAACGTCACAACAACACGATTTCCTCTCCCCTGATTGGTATAAAAATCCTATCCTACTTTAATATTTTTCATCCAGGGTGTCGATCTGACACACGTGGACGTGAAACGAGCGATAGAAAAGGCGATTCCTGGCGCGTTCGAATCCGGCAAAGTTGTTTCTGTTCAGTTCGAAAACGTAAACGTGAAACTCGCAACAGGAGGATTAGACAACAGGTAAGCATGTAGTAGAATAGTAAGTGTATAATAAGTTGATAATATGGCTTAATTATATGCCGTGCCATGTTTTTTGTCTGGTTGCCATTCCATGTTCGTTTTGGTATTAGTCGACCAGTGGATTAGAATTCAGGGCTACTCAACTATTTTCACCAAAGGTCCGTTTACGAAACTTCAAAATTACTGGGGTCCGAACATTACAGAAAATTTATTTCATTAAATAAACGAAACTTCAAATGCAATTTTCAATTAAATACAAGAGCAATGAATGGCTTGCAAATATGGACACAAATGTCGCACATCGATACCAGTACGACAAACTGTATAGCAGTGTATTTAATCTGTATCAAAATCATCTAAAACTACCAAACGATGCTTATGCTGCCAAAATAAACAAGCAGACGCGGTCCAAATTAAATGGTCAAAAGGTCCAAATTCGGACCGCGGTCCGACAGATGAGTAGCCCTGGGTTAGATTATGAACTTGATGACGGAGGAAGTCGTAACCGACCAGATCATACCGATCATATCGCACATATTGTATCTTGCAGATTTCGAACCTGCGAACCTAAGCAGGTTAATCAGAGGTGCGTTGCGATGGCGAAAGTATTTTTAACGCTTAGCGCGATGCGCATATGATGGAACTATGGATCGTGTTGTTAAACAGCTGCGTTTATAATTTTATGGTTCCTTTACTCGGCGTAGTATTACGCACTGCCATTGCAAGATTTCTTGTTGAATCTTCATATGCTTTCAACCGTGATCAGGGAGTCCGTGTCAAAAGTATAGATTGTCGTTGTCTGTGTTAGGAAAATTACTCTTCTCTGCAACTGATGCGCGGACTAATTCAGCAATCGGTAATCTGAAGTTTATTTTATCACCACATTGGAAAAACACATTTTACATACAAAACGAGAAAAAAATTGCAATCCGCGAGGAAAGGAGTTGCGATAAACCAGAAGTGATTATCGAGTAGCGACACCTGTGAAATAGTCTAACATTAATTTAACAAAAGTAAAAGAAGAAATGAAATGTTTTTAACATTTGGCTTCAATTTTGCTGACACTACACAGTGGCCACATTAGTCTCTTGGTCTTTGTGTTTATCTATCTACCTTTTTTCTGTTAAGTACCTCCCGAGTCACGAAAAATTCAACGCGAACCCCCGGTAATTAGACACCAAACAAAGTTGTGATTTATTCTCTGACAATTTGCTGCAACAACAATTTATTGATCAACTGCTGTAACAAACTTAAATATTCGTGTTGATGTTATTTCCCTTGTCCTCCGCCTAACTAATAAATTCTTGATATTTCTCTCAAGTTTCAATAAGCATTTCACTTTCTACAGTGGTCGCAACATATTATCTTTCTAGATTTTACAGTTGGCTGTAAAGCCGTGTGTTTCACATTGCGTCACAATCACAACAACGCAAGATCAGGGAAAATCTACGCTGAGTTTCAATTGGCATGCGTTTTCCTCTGTTAATTAACGAGTATTAAAAATGAAATACTCGAAAACTCAACTGCCACTCAAGTACCCCTAGAAATCTTTTCGTAAACCCCTGGGGTTCGCGAACCCCGGGTTGAGAACCCCTTATCTACAGGGTGTCCATAAAGACCCTTTGCAATTTTAATTTTGTTACGAAGTCAGTTTTTAATATATATTACCAGGTTTGTTGTTTTTTAATCGGTAATTATTCAAGTATTTTTTCTTCATTTAATACATCTGTGAGGGCCAACCAATACATGGTATCGATAAATTCCCTTTGCAATTATGGACATCCTGCATAGTGGAAAATACAGTTCACTGCACAACCGGCAAATGATAGAATAAAAGTTGGCACCCCCCGTTTAGCAGGTCAGGAATGTATTACCCCATGTTCGCGAGTCGTCTCGTTTTTTTTTGGTTTGTAGATTCATCGAATTTCCTTTTTCTCAGATGGCTGATAGAACTCCGTGATTTTGCGACTCGTAATCTCCTAATAAAGAACGGATTGGCGATCGACTGCCCTGAGAAACATTCATTGGTCGATTTGAAAATACGTGAGTATACTTACCATTGTTCAGCGTTTCTCATGCTGGGCCCAAGGGGGAAAGGTTTTCAATGACTATTAGCACTAGGCATCATTCGCGATGACTGCATGCTATTTAAAACAAGAGAGCTATGCTCAAATATATGGACACGTAGCACCACATACTTTTGATGACGTCATAGCAAAAAAAAAGTAATAGCGCTCTAGCAAAAAATATAATCTTAACTCACTGAAAATATTGAAAAAATTGGTCCAGTAATCAAAGAGAAAAGCGATGTCTTCAAAACGTGTCAAAGAACAACAACAACATAGTATTGAAACAATCGTTATGTCCACTACGTGTCCAATGAACTTGAAGTTGGCTTTTTTATTATAATTAACGGTTCGCTTCAAATAACTGAAGTAAGCTCGAGATTTTGTTCTGGTTGTAAGTGTAAAAGCGCTCAATGAATCAATTTATTTTATCTATTTTAGTCGCTCCACCAAAATCTGATGAATCGACCACCACTAGCGGCGATGAAGAGGAATTTATCACATTCCCTCCCATCAAATACCCTAAAAAAGTTGAAGTAAAACTTAACGACTCCGTTTCAATGGAAGAATATAAACTATATTTGCGACGAACAGCCGCCGAAGAGAAGCTACAGAATGTTATTTTACTTTGTGCTGGCAGAGGAGATAAACTCCTAACTACAATGCTTTGATTTCATTTCTCATTTTATTACTGTTAATAAACTCGTAAAATTTTCTACAACTCGTGCGAAATTTGCGCATTTTTGAATTTTTGAGTAGTTTGGCAACAGTTTTTCTATGTATACGTTTTTACAACAATTTTATACATTTAACCCAACTTTCAACAACAAAGTTCCTAACTTATGATGCCCCTTTGCTTTTTCAAGTCGCTTTCTTTGCTTCACAATTCTCCCTAATAAGCAAACATTGGTTAACGGTGTCAAAATTTTCATCTGATTGTCAAACCATTATGAGCACCAGAAATTTCTTGATTCCGACTCTTAGCATTCTTGATTCCGGGACATGGGGTCAGCAATATCAGCTTGTTGAGTTGGCTTATACTTTCCTATATATATATATATATATATATATATATATATACACGATCTTTCCCTGATTTATCAGTCAACTTTTCATTAACTCATTGGATCTCAACCTCTTCCCTGATTGGTCATCTGTTACAATAAATCACCGAACTGTTGCTAGTACCCGCCTCTTACACTCGACTCACGAGTTCTTTGTTTTTTTGGCGCAAATTTTTCTCGTTTTTCCATTCTATTCTACACTATTGCTGACTCATTGTTATTTTTTTCTTGTAATAAAATTATAACTAACTAAATCTAAATGTAGCGCTCCAGTGTTCTCTTAAATCTATTCAATTTTTGGTACTCCCGTCTAGCAGGTTAGGTTATGCCGTAATTTTATTCCGATTTTCCTTATTTTAGTTCTAATACGAGTTCGGAGACAGTCTGTGTTAGCCAAGTGAATATTCCCCCTATCCATAGGGTTCCGTCTCTTTACACAACTTGATGTGAAGTAGGCGAACAAAATTAGTTACCTCCACATTGGTACACATACTTCTGGAACGCCCTGTTGGGGGCTCGCCCTGTACTTTCAGCCAATGTTGCAGAAAAGCTGTTTAGGACATTTTTAATATCAATAATTATTACGAAAGAACTTCAAGCTTGCAAACTATGCATCGCTTCGATTAAAAATATTAACCCTGGTTCTTGATTGATGTTTCCCGTCCTTTGACGCCGTAAAAATTCTTCCTATATTTTACCTTTACAAAATTTTCGATGCTTATTTCAAGTGTATTGCCGCATTAGAGCTTGGAAACAAGTGTAAAAATCTTCAAATTGACAATTTTTTGACGAATATCGAAGCAACTGTAAAAGTAATGGTAACTAATTTTACCATTGTCTATTTCTGCTTTTATGACTGCCAATACTAAATTGAACCTCTTCCGAATACAGAATGACCCTGGAATTTGATTCTACATGCCGTGTGGGGTAATTAACAGTTACCGCATTGCAACACACCACCACAATAGTTTACGCATGGAAGATAGCAGGCGACGCCACTATACTTCGCATTCAGCGCTAATAAAGGCCAGTGAAAGTAGGCTTGACAGAAAGCGACTCAAATTGCAAGTTGTGCGGATGTGTGCCGCCTTATTGTGCAGAACTTTGATCAGGGCTGTAGCCGGGTCTAGTTACCGTTTTATACATTATGAGACTCCGACCAACCACGAAGTGCGAGAGAAAATACATTTCGGTCTTTTCTCCGAGAAAGGTTGCTGGACGTCGGCTGCTTTTTGATTGTGCCCACTGCTTCTGCTATTTCAAGTGTCTTCTTGCTGTTAAATAACCAATCTGGAATCTGATGACCTCTGATCAAACAACCACGGTAAAATGACCCAACTGGGACACCTGCGAAACCACACAAGGAACCCAGCATGTTTTCAACACCTATCACAATGTACCGCGTATTCCCATGACAAGCCCTAAAATCAAAAACAAGTCAATTTATATTTTCCTTTTATTTTCTTTGTCCGACGAAAAATCCGCCTCTGGTTCCAATTGGTACGATTTCCATGTTATAAAACCCACTACAGTAAAGTATACTAAGCAATATACGACGACCAGTGCCCTGCAGACATCTAGCGCGAACCCATATGAAGTATGGTCGCTTTCTGGGATCTCAGTGAGTTCTGTCTGTGCAGTGGTATCTTCAGACGTGATGATCTGAATAAATACATCGTATATGTTAGAAACGGATCAAGTCAGATACGTCGCTAAAGACACATTGCTACTTTAACCCTGAATCCTAGGTATCGCTCAGTTGGGAAATGAAGATAGGATTTTTAGTATTCAATATAATAACACGGTCTGATAAAACACGACGATTGTAACAACCACGCGTACAAAGGAAATATCTTAGGAAGCATCTTGACAGACTGAAGCAAGTCACCGATGTTCGATACCTATGTTTGTGCCGGGTAAGTCAGGTAAAGTCACGGTTATTTATTCCAACCAGTAAAAAGAAAAAAATCATGCAAAATCATATCATAAAATCATATCTATATATATATATATACTATTTACATTACTGGGGAAGGGAAGCCGCGGGTAACCAAAACTAGTTATCGAGTAGCGACGCTCAAGGTTCTAACACCTAGTTCAACAGATCGAGAAGGTAAGTTTATAAAGTACTGATATTAATGATAAATACCATATGAACTTTGAAATTAGCCAACTAACATCAATTATTACTAGAAATTACCGTGCATGGAATGAGGCATAAGACCAGTAAATAATCGGGGAATCCGCGTTTGCACTGGAATACCAACAGGATGTTAGCTAAAATGCTAAACCAAAGGCTATAGTGCTTAATTTTAGTCAAAGTCAACACTTACCATAATTTCTTCCGCGTCATTTTCATAGAGGTCCCATTCAATCGTTGGACCCTAAGAATAAACATAACTTATTTAGCACGTTTATCAACAAAACTGAAAAAAAAATCACAAAAAAACTTTCCAACATATATTTAAAAACAATAAAATTCTTTACGTCTTAAGGCGTTTCATTTCCAGCAACTCCCATAAAAATGCTGTCTAAGTTTTATTGTCTTCAGACAATAAAACACAAGTGAACTATCGAGGGCACAGGGGTTCTTTCGATTTACGCCTACGGAAAAGGTTGAAAATCACTGTCCTAACTTAATGAAGATTCAGTGAATTCTTGTTGGAAGGTTCAGCAGTTAATGACGTACACAAAAGATGGTGTTGTTTGAGTCTTTTATGTTCTATTTTCAAATAAGAACTATAAAAACTTCAATATTAATAAACTAGCATTGCTCAAACATATAGACACGAAAGTCGCGTTTTCTATTAGTCTTGAGTTTACCAAGTTTGCTGGAAGAGATCCGACGGGGTAGAGAAATATGGAATAAAACGTCTCCCGTCAATAAAAAAGAAATTAGCAAAATGTTTGGTGAAATACCGGGTCCCATTAGACTCGAAAATAATGGAAACAGTCCTCTGTAGCTCTCCTAACAGTCTTCAAGTACAGATATTTTGAAAACGGGTTGGTTGCGAATAAAACCGTTTTTCTCAATGACAATCCCTTTACCAACAAGACTTACAACCAGTAGGGGGATTCAAGGTGTTCGCGCGAAGTCGTCCCTGAAATGTGGGACAGTCATAGGGCCTGTACTTTTTTTTTCAGGTATTAGATATTGGACGACCGCAGAAAATGGGTTTCCAAAGTTATAATATTAGATTTATGTAAAGCGTGTTATGTTGATGCAGTTTACGTAGTGAGATACATACGTTTTCTAAAATGAGGAAATATATTGTTAATGGGCTCAATACATACGAGACCCGTGAAAATATTGAATCCTACACTGTTCACTGCTCCCCAAGAATTTGGCGGAGGAATTAATAAGTCTACTTCGCAATAAGCAATGGTATTTACTTCGCGACAGAAAAATATCCGTAGTGACTCATTCTGGCTCTATTCTTACCTCGTCGTATTCAAAATCAAGGCTGAACCTCTCGCTTTGAGAAGCCATCTTGCGGCCTTGGCGAAGGCCTCAAAAGTTGATATATTTTCTCCGTAAATAATATTTTTTCAGCCGGTACACTTCCTTGACCAATGCATGCCGCCGTCTAGTCCATAACAGAAAACGTCTTTTATGCAAATGTTATATTTTAACGCGTTTCTAACGATTTTTTACATTGCGTTATGACGTCACAAACATATACGATATTTTGTTCCAGGCGGGTTTATGGTTTACTAACATGCGTTTGTTCCACCCTATAAAGAGTTTATTCATACATTTAAGTATTCTTGGCAATTTGTTTTCAACATTATATTGTCTAATTTGTAAGATAGAATAATGGTTACTTCGCAACTAACGTGCCAACTGCTTTTGAGTCCCGAAACTTGGTATTGTGTTTTTGGTATTAAGTGATATTTTCATTGAATATATTTACCCTAACGGCTGATAACAGAGCAATTTGATTTAGTGATATATTTAAAATTGATTCAAATATTAAAATTAAATCATTGTGTTTGTGTATTATCAAAGGTTTATGCTCGTTTCGAGAAATCTGGCACTAAATCTTGACTCCAACCACCATTTTTTTTATCCATTTAATTCTTTTCGTTTCTGTCTATTTTGTGGGGGTGTTTCCGATTCACTGATTCTCAAAGGTTTCCGAGACGAAATTCTAGATTTTCAAGGAGCCCTCATTGGCTGTATTACATGAGTAACGCCAGCGATGACTCGGACACTGCTTTGCTGAACGAAAGGACACGTTTAATCAACGTCAATATGGATAATAATGTGGATAGCGCGAATGTGGAAGTGTGAGTCAAATTTTACAGCTTTATACAGTTATACCGGTACCGGTACGGTTAGTGTTATCCAGTAAACTTTATATCTACCGGTAATGCTTTTTATATTTATTCTTATAGTCTTGTTTCCTAATTTTTTGTTCCAGTGTTTTGTAATTTCAAAGATGTAACAAATTTCAGAATTGTGAGCTAATACGGTACAACTAATTGTTCATTATTCTTTATACCATATTATTAGTAAGGAATTTTTGTTACTCCAGTACTCTGTGACGTCTATACATTATGACTGACATGAACTGATGTACCGGTAACTAGTCAAGCTGTATCATTTGGCTGCTTCCTGAAAAAAGTTCTGAAGTTCGTTGTACAATCAATTTTGCATAAATGTGGATATCAATATCTCTAGAATACAGAGAGAATTAGCAAGACAATACGGTATGCCATGAAGTTTTTGACGAAATTTGGTTGAAATTTTGCAGTATTTTATGCATTCAACTTTCTGTTGTCAACTCCATGACATCACTTGTTTCATCTCACTGCTTGAAAAATGTTTAGTTGAAAGTGAAAAGTGAATTATGGTGAATATATAGGTGATACTGCTATCAACTAGCATAATAACAACAGCAAACCATCAAGACCTCGATATAGTAAAATTGAATAAATGAGTGAAATTTCACTTCGTCATATTTATGAAATTGCTGATATGCAAAAATGATTTCGCCACACCCGCTAGACTGCCAGATGTAGGCCTACATGTGGTACTATACTAAACCCTCAATTTTTTGGTTTAAACCTGCCCAGTTATACTCCTATGTATCCGTTTATTTATTAAATATTTATATTATCATATTCTGTCACAGTCGCCCAAGGCCGTCAACTTCAAGACAATCAGATTCAGCATCACAACAAGAAGGTCAGCATGAAAGCACTCAACCACGACAAAGACGAAGAAGAAGGGAAAGGACGCAGGAAGAAGGTCAGTGCAGTGATTTTTGTAAATTTCAGTGGTTTGAATATTTTTCATTGGAAAGCATGACTCATTAGCAGCGTCGAGCAGAGCTGAATCCAGAGTCGTGAGAAACTTCGTGTAGGGAAAAAAGTAATTGCATGTTTCATGGAGCATTGTTGTTCTAGTAGTGCCTTGTTTTAGTAGCGCCTTGTTTTAGTAGCGCCTTGTTTTAGTAGCATTGTTTGATTTTTGTCTGTTTTGTTTAGTATGTTTAAGCATCAGATTTCAGATGTTTAATTTTCAAATGTAACTCTTCTGAAATATGCTCAAATCAATTATTTTGGATATTGAATATAAACAATTTTAAAGAGATTTAATATTATTCATATTCATCATTTGGACAAAATGATTTATTTCAAAGTTGTGGTTTCCCTTTTTTGAGCGACTGTCTGCTGTTCTGCATGTAGCACTGGTACGAGGTGTCTAACAAGTAGAAAGACGTATTTGTCACATTTTTGATCTTCTATATCTTCTATATCCTTATTATCCTAATTTTAACTAAGAGAAAAACTTTGATGTAAACTCTTTTAATTTTAAGTCGTAAAAAAGTTTTCGTCAATGATTAAGACAAATTATGTTCAAATATGAAATTCGCTGTAGCGTTGCATTTGGATTCAAGTCGGCAAATCTTTCGTCACAATGGTCAATGTTTATTGATGCATCGGCGGTATTGCAGCTTGATTGCGGTTAGTGAGTCTAAGTTACTGTGCAATATGTCTTCAATTAAAAAACGAAAGTATGAAGATGAAAACAGAGTTGTCAAGTCAGAATGGGAAGAAGAATACGCATTTACCAGTCAGGAGAATAAACTTTTGTGCTTAATCTGCCATAAGCTACTAAGTCAGAATAAAGTCAGCAATGTTATTCGGCACCTTGAAAGGAATCATGAAAACTTCTTACGAGACTACCCTCGTAAATCAGCTATAAGGAAACACAAATTAAATGAGCTCAAATTGTACATATATTTGAGCATAGCTGCCTTGTTTATCTAATTATTGTTATTAGACTCTTGTGTGGATTTCTTTTCTGTTCATGGTATTTTGATAATGATAAATTCACAAATTCTGTGGCTCTTTTGAAGTTCTGACTTGCAGCATGGGCTCTTATACTAAAAAATTGTGCCCATCCCTGGCCTATATTACAGTGCCATAAGTATTGTACAGAGGTTTCTCAAGCCCTTGGGATGAGCCATTAAGGTTCTGCCCTACCGAACAAGTTGAAACTGTTCTATTTATTAACTTGTATAAAATTTTTCAATTTTAGAGGAACAAGAAGAAGAAATGGCGATGAAATACGGAGCAAGTACCGTCATCTCACTATTCGTGCCTGTCACTTTATGTATGGCGGTCGTTGTGGCTACAATTAGGTAAGTATCTGACTAGGTATTTGGGAGACGAAAGTTGATAATATGGTAAAATCATTTTCTGTGTCAAATTTGGTTAGCTTTCACCCGTTTACTGTCAGGGTAGTTGGCAGACGAAAATATTTTATGCCCAGAGTTTTTTTTCCAGAAACTTTAGGTATACGTAATTCACTATCTGCTTAGAATTTCCATCAGTATAATATACTAATGGCTAATTGGGAGCAATTTTCATAATCTGGGTAAGTTTGATCAAAGTATTTGTAATGTTGATGAAAACATAATTTAACAAACAACTTGTTCATTTCTAGTTCTGTTTCACAGTGCCCTGAACAATTAATTACACCCTGGATATGGCTGGTGAAATATAATATCACATATGGTATCAACAATTTGTTGAGTTCAGCTCTGTATTGCGTTACACTGACCAATGCACAAAAATAATTCCATTGTAAATTGTTCATTTCCAGCTCTGTTTCGTACTACACCGACCAAAGTGACAATATCTACCTCGCTTACACTCCGTTTCATACCGAGGATGCAGACACAGGACAAGTTGTTTGGGAAACCATTCTAAATTCTTTGATAATGATCGGAGTGATTTTCGTAATGACTGTTGTACTGGTTCTGTTGTATAAGTACAGGTAAGGTTTCATGCCCTCAGCTAAATGTGGAAAAAGTGTTGATAAAAGAGTAGCAAGTTTGCTCAAAGCAAGGTCTTGAGCTATCAACTAAAAGTAGGAAGAGTATTCGTGAAGGAGTTGCATGTTTGCTCAAAGCATGGTCTCGATCCTCAACTAAGACTAGAGGGAGTACTGATAGAAGAGTTGTAAGTTTATTCAAAACAAGATTCCAAACTCTCAACTACAAGTGGAAATAATACTGATAGAAGAGTTACAAGTTTGCTCAAAATAACGAGGCTTAAACTAAAAGTTGAAAGAGTACTGATAGACATTAATATTTGAAAATAAACTTGTCGAAACTCTGGACAGTACTGGCGGAATCCTAGGGTGCGGCGAAACCCTGGGCGAAAACTTGGATATAGATTGAAAGAGATTGAATTTGGATTTGAAAATTTGGAAAAAGATAACGTCGTTTTAAAGTCGTTTTCTTCACTACTTTCTTGCTATATCAATGGTTCTCAAACTTTTTAAGCCGCGTCCCCTTTTTAGAATTTGTCAATTCTTGCACCCCGTCTCAAAATAACTAGCTAGCAATAGGCTACAAATGACAAATATTAAGGCAAAGTATGTTTTATTAAAAAAAGACGTTGAAAACATGTGAATGGAATCGCAATCTCTAAACAATAAAGAAATCTAAATATTCAAAAATAAGTGGGCAAGTTTAAATCCAACAAATATCTTTTTATCATTAATCAGCTTCATGCTCCTTCAAAAATTGTCCATGCGCTTCTTTTGTGGCGCGTCTTACCATTTGAGAACCAATGCACTATATTCATTTGTTTCAGATGCTACAAGGTAATTCACGGTTGGCTGGTCGTGTCATCTCTTTTGATGCTGTTTCTATTCGCATACTTATATTTCGGAGAAGTTTTTAGAGCGTATAACGTCGCAATGGATTACATAACTATATCAATTGTACTCTGGAATTTTGGAGTCGTTGGGATGGCCTGCATACATTGGAAAGGTTAGATCTTTATTGCAAATTTGGAGGCGATGAACACTGATTAATTTTTTTATATCTTTAGTCTGAAACCAAACCAAAGTCTGTTTGGATATCGTTTATTGCAAATAATGGAATGAACATGATTATACAATGTTTTTCAAGACTCCTGCTGCACGCTAACAGAAATGTATTTTTGTAACAATTGCGAAACGTTACAATGTAAACGTACAAATGAATTTGTGTTAGTGCAAAGCAAATAGCAAGGCTCTGGAATTACATGTTTATTCCTGCCGCAGAATCCTTGCGTTACATATACTGATTCACCAGCACCACTGCATAGAGCATCGGTTCAAAAACGGAGGCCCATTGCCCCCCAGGGGGGTTGGAGGGGGCCCCAATGCCAGGGGAAAAACCGATTCTACTTTTCTTACGAAATTGAGCATGAATCGTTTGAACCTAATGGGATGCAGGATCTACCAACAAAAGTAACACCTTAAATAGTACTGCAATGACAAACAGAGGGGCTCATGAGTACCTTTGTGAAAGCATTTGGAAGGGGGCCATGAGTTATAAAGGTTTGGAACCACTGGCATAGGGGAAGGATGCCTCACATAGACTTAACTGATAGTGATAGTTATAGAATATATTTGTATTAGTTTAAAGCAAGGATTTTGAATCACTTAGAATAGTTATCTTTATTCTTGCTAGAGCATCCTTGCATTATACAAATCCACCATCACAAAATAATAGAAGTTGTTACTTGTTAGTCCAGCAGAAATCAAATTGACTTGCACTCATTCAAATGTTTGTTTTGTTATCCATCCACAGGTCCTCTCTTGCTCCAGCAAGCATATTTGATTATCGTCTCAGCATTGATGGCTCTGGTTTTCATAAAATATTTACCGGAATGGACAGCGTGGTTGATCCTTGCTGTTGTTGCCGTTTATGATATTATGGCCGTGCTGTGCCCTAGAGGTGGGCTGGATTTCATGCTTTTTTGTTAACCAAGTATCCCCTAATACAGGGGCCGGAAACTTATCGTATGACACGGTGACCCATAGGATTTTTTTTGGCAAGTACACAAAAGCGTGTGTGACTGTGTGGTATACAGATCATGCAGTTCACAGATGGAAACTGGCTACGTCTTTTCAATTAAATGAAACAAGCGTGGAATTCCTTACCATAACATTCCTTACCTTGACATTCCATACCATGACATTCCATACCATAATCATGTGCAGTGTATTCAAATTTACAGAACTATCTTCAATAAATGAATCGAGTGTGCCAGAAAAGGTTATTTTTATGGCACTTGATTTAATTAACATGCTTGCAAATATTACACATAAGCAGTGTTCCCTCTTAAAGTGTGCGTGTGTGCGTGCACACACATCTTTCAGAGGCTGCACACACGCATAGATTTACTGCGCACAGACGTATTTCGATGTAATAAAACAATGTTCTCGGTTGGCAGGTTGATTGTTGGCCCACTTATTACCCGGTTAGAACGCCAAAATTTCTTAATTGGTTCTTGCACAAATATTAGTCATTTCCAAGAAAAGTGCGCACACACCGAAATTTCTGCGCACACATACTACAAAAAATTAGAGGGAACATTGCACATAAGCATGTGTGACCCATTCATACACTGGATGGAATAGTATAGAAATAGAATAGAAAACTGACTGCACTGCATAAAATAAACAATAGAAGAATAAAACAAAGTGCCACAAGAAGAATTTTCATGGCATGCTTTGATATGCATGTTAAGTATACACCATAAGTCTGTACGACACATCCATGGATTAAAACTGTCTCTTGCCAAATAATTGAAAGAAACATCCCACAAGGGAATTTTATGGCATTCAAAGTAATTTGATTACATGAGAAATGTACACCAGAAGTATTAATGTAAACACTAGTGTGGCGAAAAGGACTCAAACTAAAGAATTATCGTGGTGTCGATTTGTGCATAATTATCTTTTAGGCCCACTCAGAGTTCTCGTTGAGCTGGCACAAGAGCGAGACGAACCGATATTTCCAGCTTTGATTTATTCATCTGCAATGATGTGGCCGACAATATCCATGGCCCAGAATGGTGAAGAAAACAGTCATCAGGTATGGATTAATGAAATGAACTGTGTTCACTATCTGGAATTACTCTGGTATATAATGAGTCTTTGTGACAGCAACATTCTTAAAGCCCTTATTGCTTCTTATTCATAAAATACATATCATTTTTGCATGACTTCTTTGTTATATATTTTTTTCGTTTTTTTATTCATGAGCTTTCAGGTCAAACAAGCTTTTGTACAAGTAACATGTCACTATTTTAGGTTAATAATTGCCCAGCTAATTTGTTGCACTCTTGGTGATATGGTGGGAATTGAGCTTTTGCCAGAGATATTTTAATCTGAAAAGCCTGTTCCATATGTAAGTCTACTTATGCGGAACTCTGTTTGGCTTGTCTTTATCGGCCAGTTTATTGCCCCCTGGGTGAGGGGCGTGGGTATGTGTCGAATATCTTTATCCTGTGATGCTAACATAGTCCCATGATCCGTAGCCCCTATTCAAAGACTCAACATTTCCCCTGTCCCCTGCACTTCAATAAATTACCTAGTTTTGCTTTTAATATGTTTCCATAAGTTATTTTGCTCATCATGTTCAATAGCAATGTAGGAAGCAAAATAATAAATGCATTTCAGTCAAAGAATCAAATAAATCACAGTCGAGTTAATTTTAATTAATATAGTTATCAAGAATGGTATACCTAGTAAGGGTATGTGTTTGTGGCCCTCACAGGGGTTCAAGGATCCAGTCCAAGAAGCCATGCACTAGGCCAGGGTTTCCCAAACTGGGACTCCTGGACCCCTAGGGGTCGGTGATGGCTGCACAGGGGGTCTGCAGCAATATGAAAATAGTCCTGAAACATATATAAATAAATCCTAATCTTATCGAATTGCGGTTATCCAGCCAATATTTTACGTTAGTATGTATTGATTCAGACTTTCAGGGAGTTCTATTTCGTCAAAGGAAACATTATCCTTCCTCGATAGTTAGGCATAAAAATTGGTGCTCCCGAAGTATGCGAACCAAGATGGCGGACTTCGGAACGTAACAGGTTAGGGTTAGGCGATAATTTATTTCCAATTTTCCTTATTTTAGTCTTATTATCAGTTCGAAGACTAGCCAAGAGCCTCCCGTAGTATTTATATCTAAAATTATGGCCTAACCCTAACCTAGTGCACATATTACATTCCGATGTCCGCCATCTTGGTTCGCATACTTCGGGAGCCCCTAAAAATTGATATGGTCTAGGATGGGGGTTCGTCAAAAAAAATGATTCACAAACAGGGGTCTGCGCAGTAGTGGGATTCAGCCGGTTCGCACCGGTTCCATAGAACCGTCTCACAGGGTAACCTGTGTAACCTTTGTAACTAAACCGCTTGAAAATATGACATTTGTATGATGGAACCGGCTGACGAAAAATTTGAAGCCCACCACTGGGTCTGCGGCCCGAAAAGTTTGGGAAACTTCGCTCTAGGCTATCTCAGACAATATCTTTTATTTTCACATCATTTGCATGATTTCTTTTTTTCCTTGAAGCAAAATCGTGACCAATCAGCATCTGATGATGAAAATCCGGATGAAAGCGGTGGATTCGATGCTCGATGGAGCAGAACAAGAACTGATCAGGTGATTAGTATTTCACTTCTCGTGTTTTTATTTTTTTTTTCATCTCTACCATGTATCGAATCTCCTGTTTGAAAGAAGGGATTCATTATCAAAGTCTCTTTCTTTATTGATTGTAATCTTCATTGATTCATTGCTTCATACGATTTCTTAAAGAACTGGGGATCTACAAAGGAAAACACGACTTGATATAAGAGTTACAACTTACAAGCATCGACTTTTTCCCAGAGGGTTACATTTAGATTTATTATTTTCTTCAATAATATTAAGTTTTTCAGTACTATTCAGTAGTTCCTCAGTCTCCATTTCATCCATTCTTACCTCTCTTCAGTAACATGGTGGTGTAGCAACTCATAAAATCTATTCATATGTTTTCCAACTTCTCAGTGTTTACTTCAGTAAATTCCAGTTTTTGGATTTAATTCAATAGTTTTCCATTCCCTATTTCATAAATTTTAATCTTTCCACAGGAGGTTGAAGTAGCCACATCCCACGAGAGTCGTGAACAAGCGAGAGCAGCCCAAGGAACTCCACCCCCAGTCCCAGAAGAAGAAGACAAGGGAGTAAAGCTCGGACTTGGAGATTTTATATTTTACAGGTAAAATGATTTTTTACCGTTAAATCTGGAAGTCAGGGTTTGGTTCACATTAATTAGCTGTATTAGCAATTTAAACTTTGTTTGGGTTTAAATTATATTATTTAGGGCAACATTATTGAAGTAGTAAATTGTATTTTATCGCAGTTTTTTCCTGTACTACTGTGTGAGTGCCCATAACTTTGCCCAGAGATGGGTCTCCATACCTCTGAGTGAGTGTCTATAACTTTGATTAGAGATGAGTCTCCTTTACTTCCAAGTGATTGCCCGTAACTTTGCTCAGATATGAGTTTCCTTTACTTCCAAGTGAGTGCCTGTAACTTTGATTAGAGATGAGTCTCCTTCACTTTTGAGTGAGTGCCCGTAACTTTGCTCAGAGATGAGTCTTCTTTATTTACGAGTGAGTGCCCGTAACTTTGCTCAGAGATGAGTCTTCTTTCTTACGAGTGAGTGCCCTTAACTTTTCTCAGATATGAGTCTCCCATACTTCTGATTGAGTGCCTATAACTTATCTCAGAAATGAGTCTTCTTTACTTCTGCATGAGTGCGGATAGATTTACCCAGAGATGAGTCTCCTTTACTTCTGAGTGAGTGCCTGTAATCTTGCTCAGAGATGAGTCTTCTTCACTGCGGAGTGATTACATGTATCTTTGCTCAGAGAGGAGTCTTTTTAACTTCAGAGTGAGTGCACATGACCTATGAGTGAGGATCGCTATTTTAATAAAAATTTGAAAATCTATAACATATTATTAATATTTTCAGTGTACTTGTTGGAAAAGCCTCAGCATCAGGAGATTGGAACACAACATTGGCTTGTTTCGTTGCAATTCTTATCGGGTTATGTTTTACGCTGATACTCCTTGCTATATTCAGACAAGCCCTGCCTGCTTTACCAATCTCTATCGCATTTGGCCTTATCTTTTATTTCAGGTGAGGTAGTGGTTAGCAATTTTTATTACATGGTTGTGTGTTCAATAATTCTTTAAAACAGGGGTCTCAAACTCGCAGCTCGGGGCCAATTGCGGCCTGCAGGACGATAGTTTGTGGCATCTGCCTTAGTATGAAAGTTTGTATTAGTGTGGCCCGCAAGTCACTTAGCTCAGTTCGCATGATTGATACATTTAATATGAGTTCTCGAAATTTTGACGTCACAATCACTAACGCTCAAATTTATGTTGATACATTGTAACCATGTTTTCCATGTGGTGAGACATCACTGTCCATCGGTAAAACACTTGGTGGAAACAAATGAAGAAAAAAAAAGATTTGAATTTTTAAGCTAAGCTGATGCGGCCCATACCCACCCAGTCTCTGGTCTCAGTGGCCCTGGGTAAATTAAGTTTGAGACCCCTGCTTTAAAATAACTTTATTTTTGTATTTCAGCACTGATTATGTAACGCGACCCTTCATGGACCAAATCAATTCTCATCAGATTTATCTATAACAGAAGATAGCCACCTAGTGGTGGCCTCTCAGGTGTGACCAATTCAAACATGGATGATTTAATACCGGGATTCTCTAACTTGCACGACCCATGGTCCCCTCCCTCCCCCCCCCCAATAACCCTCAATACATAAGAGCCCCTTCTTATATAAGAAAATACATAATTCTATTTTTATTACATTCCCATCAGTCATTTTAAATATCAAGTTTTATAAATAAAAAATGAATCTAATTAATTGCAATTTACTTTCAATATATGTACTCATGGTGAAAGCCGTTACCTTCCAGAGAGACACTGATCTAATAAATTGCTCGGCCTATAACGATTTTGTAAAAGCATAGATCTGTTTCTCTACAGACAATTTTTCAATTCCAGTTCCGCTTTAATAGAAAATCTTATATCTCATTTTTTGTAATGCTTTTCCAATTTATTCTCAATTGTCATTATTTGATATTTTTGATCAAACTGTCAGAAAATAATTTAGTTTGACAATTTTCGGATTTCAATTGAGTTATGTTCGTAATTGTTTAATTAATATACTTCGAAATTATATCTTGTATTTTGTAATTCTTTTTTCCCAATTTATTCTCAATTGTAGTTCTTTGTTATATTTGCATCAATCGGAAAATGATTCAGTTTGACAATATTTGGATTTTGCCATAAAGCATGGATTACCGTAGTTGCTCTCGGACAATTTTTCAATTTTAATCGATTTATCTCCATAATTTTTTTGATTAATATATATCATATTTATATCTTGCTTTTTCCCCACTCAAGTGTCGTTATTTAATATTTTTGTGTCGATCTGACAGAAAATGATTTAGTTGGACAATTTTAATCGAGTTATCTCCAAAAATTTTTTGATTAATATATATCGAATTTATATCTTGCTTTTTCCCCACTCAAGTGTCGTTATTTAATATTTTTGTGTCAATCTGACAGAAAATGATTTAGTTGACAATTTTTCAATTTTAATCGAGTTATCTCCATAATCTTTTCGATTAATTTATATCTCATTTCTAGTAACGCTTTTTCCCTACTCAAGTGTCATTATTTAATATTTTTGCGTTAATCTGACAGAAAAAGATTTAGTTTTACAATTTTCAGAATGACTCATTTCATATAGAATGATTTACGTTATACATGGTAATCGTTCCACGCTCAATCCATAATAATTTGCAGCTGTTCGTGACACATACATTCTGAGATGCTCTTTAATTGGGCTTCAAGCTTATGGTGATTTTCATCGAACAGTGCCTCGCACTTGATAACCTCCAGACTTATTTATTTCTGCATTATTCTGTTGTTCAATTTCCTCGTCTGTGAGTGCAGATCACGATTTCTTTTGTCATTTCTCTATTCTAAATAATTCTTTTTCACAATCTTTTGAAAGATTTTTTAGAAAATCTTTTTTTACTTGTTTGTGGTATTTTTACATAATGTTGACTTGACAATGCTCACCAGCAATTCTTAATCCATACAGATGGAATAAATAACTAGTTTAATATCCCCATTCCTTCAATAGATTGGCAAGACGTTATCTGTGAGTCACTATCAAGAGCGTAGCCTGGGTTCCCGTGTGTGACCCCCCGACCCCAACCCCCTTTTTTTTAAATATAAAAAACGCATGTTTTGTATCGTACAAAGCAATTTTTGCTTGAATGCTTTTTAGAACATCAAGACGGTTGAAAACCTATCGGAACTGCTAGCTGTTGTGATCTTGGCAATTTTGAGTTTTATAACCAACCTGCTCCCCTGCCTGATTAATTGAACTGGCCAGTCAGCTTCCTGTGATTCTTATTGAGCCATTTTTTCTCTACTCTGAATAAAAATGAAATCTCTATTCCCCATCCGCACTTGCTAGAGATTTTAAAAAACATACGTCAATAATTTCTCTTTTCTCTCTCTCTGACTGTTCAAGCATCCATGCAATTTAAGAATCATAAATACCAGTACCGAACAGGACGAACAATCAATTTTCCCATTTCATGTATTAATATTGTTCCATATAGAAGTGACAGACTTTTTGCTTAGAGTAGATTTTTTTTGCAGCTTCACTCATTAGCTCTGTTCCATTTTTTTATGTGTGCTTTGATTTACATTTGATGTTTTTACAAACTTACTAGCAAACATGCTTGATAATTAATTTGTAACTATAATTATTGTAATCTGGGGAAAATCTATATTCAATAAAATGAAAGAATGGTTGAAAAATTTTCTTATATTAAATTGCTCGTTTTAATATCTTTTGAAATACTAAATATTAGTTCTATGATTTTAAGCCGCCTCATTGGCTCTCAGTCTTCTGCGAGATAAATACGTAAGTCCTATCCCTACTGTAATCCCTGGTAGCCCTACATCTCTGTTTTATATATAGCAATCTCATCCTGTGACGTAAAATAGAAGTTAAAAGATGACATGAGGCTCTGCAAAACTGAATATATTTCTTTGTGAATCAGGGCTGGAAAAATTTCTATGGACATCTTTGTTTTTCATAAATAGCAATCTCATCTTGTGACATAAAATAGAAGTTAAAAAACAGCATGAGGCTCTGCAAAACTGAATATATTTCTTTGTGAATTAGAGCTGGAAAAATTTCTATCGACATCTTTGTTTTTCATAAATAGCAATCTCATCTTGTGACATAAAATAGAAGTTAAAAAACAGCATGAGGCTCTGCAAAACTGAATATATTTCTTTGTGAATCAGGGCTGGAAACATTTCTATGGACTTGCATGTTTTAGTCGTTCCTTTTGTGCTAGATATCACTAAAAGTGCATGTTTTGTTAAATTTAACTTGCCAGTATTGCTTTCATTTCACATTTGTATATTATGGAATAAAATTAAAAACTTTGTCATTTGTAGTTGTATAAGGGATATTATAGTGCTTTTCAGGTAGGTTTGATTTATTAAAAGCTTATCTGCATATAAGCTCATCATAATTTTTCAAATTAAATATTCGGTTCAAATTCAAATTTTTTTTTATTAATGTAAACATCACATTCATATAGACCAGCGTTTCCCAACCTTTTTTGGTCGCGGACTATTTTCTCACCGGCGAAACCCTTTGCGGACTCAAAGTGCGTTTATAGCAACCGTATACTCTGTGTGAACAGGCAATAAAACCGAACACAACAGAATTTCAACGATGGCCTTTTCTGTCGCACAATATTCAATCCATGACAACGACGAGAATTTAAGATGTATTCCTATTTTAACTTAATTGTGTTCATGATAATTCGCAGTTGCGTTGAATTGCGACAAGATGAAAGCATGACTTCTGTAAAATACAATGGCAATCTGTGGACATATTAATGTGAGAATATATTGTCCGATTATACTTAGTTTTGATACATTTTTTTTGCGATCTTGCGAATTTGTTATCGCCGATAGAAAAATCCTACTATCTGCTATAAATTTTAAAAAGTACAACTTGATTTAGTACTTATTAAAAATATATTTAAAGTATATTAGTAAATCAAAATTACATATATATTCATCGCCATGGTTTTATTATTATTAATTTTATTGTGATCATTTTAATCTGCCTTTGTTATGACGAAATAAAAGCAATACTACTCAGAAAATATGATGACAATCCGTGAACACTAAAATGCGTGGTAAAGTGCCCGATTATATTTTGTTTTGATTCGTTTTTTGTGAAATCTGAGCTGTTCGTACAACACCTACGGCAGTACTGTACGTACCAATGTGGAGGCAGTAAAGCAAAGAATCCTAAGGTACGGTAGCATCCAAAATTTTGCGATTTGCAATGTCTAAAAAGCGTTTTTAATCGGTCGCGGACCATCATAAAACAAAACTTATGGTGTTCTTCGTTTTATTCTTAGTATTTTTTATTGACGCTTTTCAATTTAGAAAATTTGGGTTGCCACCATTGACACTAACCAGAAAAAAAAAATTATTCCCCGTTGTGAGAACTCGCGCTTTGGGTTTTAGCATCCGCATATAGATTGAATCCGCGGATATACAACATGTGTTCAAATGTACGGTCACCATGAAATCCAATCGTCTGATTAAGCGCAAGTGACCTATCGCGTCACCTGTTACCAAATTTTTGAATAGTAAACTTCTATTCTAATAGTTGAATGTTCGAATATATGCCCAGATATACTCAGTAACCAGTAATTATTGACTCGATTAATGCTATGTTACTAAACTTGCTTTTTATATTTTATGTAAATTCTAACGTAAATGGTGTCGAGGGTTTCATTTCGTGATAATCAATAGACCATATTGTAGAAAATATTTGAGAATTGGAAATAATATTATCCGTTAATCCGTTAAGGTTTACATTTGACGCCAAAGATCTTCGGTTAATCGCAATATCACAAAACAAACATTCAATTAACAGCGTACTGCTGGCATATACTGGTCATTATTACTGCAAAAGCTTAGGTGTTTCAAAAGTATAACAGCCCGGAAGTTCAATACATTCGAGTATCTTTTGTTCAATTATTTCTGGCACAAGCCTCGTCTGATATCTCTCATGTTTTAAACTTTTTTAAGGTTTTGCTCGCCATCCAGAATTCTCCATTTTAAATTTGTGTATATTATGGAGTATTCAAATAAACTATCTATTTAAATCGCAACGTGGCTGAATTTCTGGCCCGTTGCGGACTCATTCAAACGCTCTGCGAACTCATTTGAGACCGCGGACTCGGGTTGGGAAACACTGATATAGACACAATAACACTTTAAAAAACGAACTTATGAAAGTTTTCCACTTCTTCTTATGGATTGACAGTTTACCATTTTAGTTGCAATAGTTTTTTCACAGTTGATGATATTTTTTATCACGCGTAAAAATTGACAAAATTGAGGCCTTTTATTACAAAGTTTACATACCTCTGTGAAGCTAGCAGCAAAACACGAAATTGTGACTGACAGAATCGCAGAAAATACCCACGCGTAAAATTAAATGTTCCCAATGATTTTTAAAAGAAAGTGTATATTTTGATTAGTTTTACAATAGCAAATAAAGCAAAACAATCATTAACTACACTACTCGTATTGTTAATATATAGTAAACAAGCTAAAGCGACTATTACAGTGCATAAAATTTTTTATACTATTTTGAGAGTTGTTTGAAATGACTGAATT